TCTCTCTGTCTCTTTCGCACTCTTTCTCTGTCTTTGCAGTCATTCATTTCTTCAATCATTCCTTCATTTGTTCAGTGCTTCAGTTACTTATTCAACAGCTCGTCAAAGTTTTTGTTGTTGCAAACTTTTTAATTACGTTGTGTTCCACAAAATGTTTATGACTGCCAACTAACAAATGCCAAACAAATACTTCTCTCCATATACGTAAGTGAGCGTGTATGTGTGTGTGTGTGTGTGTGTTATGCATGCCATAAGGCCCCCTTTCTATGCTGTTTTTGCAATAGCAAAAAACTTTTATAACAGCCGTGTGGGGCTTTAGACAGAGGAGCAAGGGAGGTGAGCGAGAGAGAGAGAGAGAGAATGTATCTATAGCTGTGAAAGTATCTCAATGTTGCATTCGTTTATTGCAGTTGAAATCTTAGTTTCGAAATTTTTTGTTGTTGCATTTTGTTGCATTTTGCTTTAGTTTTTGCCTCATGGGTAACCATTTGCAATAAATGCACAATAGGGTATCATAAAAGTCTGCATTTACATATTGCGCCAGCTTGCTAAAGCTGCTGCTCAGTTATTTGCGGCTGGCGACTTTAAAGTAAATTTATCTCTCTTCAGAATGCTGTCAAAAATTTGCATATTGTTACGTATTATTTGAAATTTGAGTTGCCTAAAATTCTTGATAGCACCCAAAAATTCCCTAAAACCTATCTAAATGCTCCTTTTGGTTGTCTTGATCTTACTGTTAAACAATCAGTCAGTCAGTCAGTAAACCAGAGCTATAAACAATGAATTTAATGCATCAGTCAGTCAATGGACTTATCAAGCTGACAGTCAATTAATATTTCAATATACGAATTAGTCTGTCAATCAGTAGTTTATCCATCAACTAGTCAATCGGTCAAGCTCTCAGTCAATCAGTTTGTCATTCACTCTGACTTTCTGTGAGTCACCTAGATTATCAATCAATCAATCAATCAAGTATATGTTAGTTTTTCTGTTACTAAGTAAATGAGTTAGTCAATCAATTAATCAATCACTTAATTACTCTGTCAATCTTCGAGTTAGTCAGTCAGTGACTCTGCCAATTAGATAATTCATTGTCAGTAAGTAAATTGACTCTCAATCAGTCAATCAGTTAGGTAGTCAGCCAGCCAGTCAATCAATAAATAGATCAGTAATTCGCTTAAGTAACAATCAAATATTATCTTCAATCAAAGTAATAGCATGTGGTCAATTTTTCCTTCCGTAATTCGATTAGTCAATCAATCAAAGTTGGGCTCATTCACTCAGTCAATCAATCATTCCTGTTCAATCCCTCAGATATTCACACTGCATCAGTAACTCACTTCAGCAGTCAATCCGTTTCTCTTTTAATCATTCCTTCGAGTACTTGAGAGAGGACTATGGAAATTGAATATGCCATCAGGGTATTTAATATTCGACTGCTTCTGCTTGGTTCTCGTTTTAATTGAATTTTATTATTGCAAGAACTTGAATTTTATGGGCATTTGTTGGCTGCCAGCTTTTCGAGTTGCCTTTACGCCGTACAAATATGCCAAGGGCTCCAAAACAAGAGCCGAACACACATACAACTTTGTCGTGTGTGTAAGTGTGTGTGTGTGTGTATCAAATAGCAATTACGAAACGTAGCAACAGAAACACTTGAAGACGGCAGCAGGAGTAGCAAAAGAGTGAGGCAGATAGAGAGTAGAGTGAGAGAGAGAGAGATAGGTAGAGGGAGAACTGGTTAGGCAGCTGCGCGACATATTGTAAAACATTCGTCTTGCGTCTCGATATACGTTTTTCAACTCCAATATTATCATTTATATACGCACATTTATATAAATTTATATTTGCTTTGTGCCATTCGCCTTGAGGTTCAATGATTTCTTGACATGACAAAATATTCTTCCGTGGAAAAATATGATCAATTTTGCACAATATTTGCTAAAAAATTGCCACAGGCTGTGCAAAATAAGAAACAAAACACAAATCGAAATAGAAATGTGAACTGAGACGGTACAAGTTGGCTGTGCACGACTGGGAGATACTCCGTTTATATTTTCCTATATGAATAGACTTCTTTCGGTGCGAATTGTCGAGCAGAACTGGTTCCACTTCCGTTTCAGACTCTCCTGCAAATTGTATATACTTCATCAGGTCTGCTCCTATAAAAACCAATATACCCTCTCCAGCCACATTTTTTCTTAATGGATTCCGGGTATCGAGGAAAATAAATAAGAAACAAAAGTCAAATACAAATACAAATAAAAGATAGTCAAGAAATAAAGACAAGAGAAATAATCTGTTTGGATCTGAAGTCCTCTTGTCATCGGTTTATTGAAATTGTGTATTGCATAGCGCTCGAGCTGAACTTTGACTCCCCCTCCCCCCACCTCACTTGACATAAATATTCAATGTTTGTGAAATTGAACATGAAAATATTTTCGTTGTCTTACGCAAGAGTTTTAAACTCCTCTCAAACGTAACGGGCGGATTAGGAAAATGTTCTGCTCTGCTTAAGAGACGGTGCACGAGAGTTTGTAAAGTTTTGCACTTGGAAGTAGCTTTACAATAGAGTTTGCATTCAGCTGCAGTTTTTCCTAGATACACTTGGCTTGTAGTTGTCAGACAGTTTAGATCGTACCATTAAAAGTGCGGCTGTCAGACATTAGGAAGAATATTTCGAGTATGCATGTCATAGGAATTAGATCTGGAACTTTTGAATGTAATTTTTTTTTTTTTTTTTTTTTTTTTTTTTTTGTAAAGCTTATCAGCTAGTTTATAGAGTATATACATATGTATTTAACATTTTCATATGTAGATGTTTTGCATTTTATGGGCAACTATTTAGAACTTCATTTAGATGCATTTAAAGACAGTTTAACTTCTAGTTATATATTAAACAGGAGGAACTATGTCGATATGCACTACAATCCTCCATTGGGGGTGGACTATCACGGTAGATATGCACTACAATAAGAGCTAACTGTACTCTCATGCAAGCGTAAGCTTAATATGGCACTGGGTATAGGACTTTTAGCTCTCATAGCGCCTGCTGCCGCCGCTCGAATATTAATTAAAGATCAACAAAATTGAAGGCAGGCTGATGCCATTGCACATCTATTGCTAATTAGACGCTTTAACGGTTCTGCAGCTCTATATTAATTAGAAGCGCAAAAGCTCAATTATAAATGGCAATTGAAACGAATCGAATCATAATTGACAAAGAAATAACAGCAATGCATAGGCATATATATATATGGCATATGTATGTATATTTATCTATATATATGTGTAAATCCCTGTATCTGCATGTGAATGCATATTAAATTCCGCAGACTGCTTGTCGACATGATGTAATTGCATATTAGCCCACCCTCTTCTCTCTCTCTATTTCTGTCTCTTTCATGGCGTGTCGCTGATTGCATTATCCCTTCGATGTCCTGGCCAGTCGTTGCGGTCACGTTGCTCATTTTCGCATAATGTTTTATGCACAACTAAATACAAATGCGCTTTAATGAGCGCCGAAACAGGCGACCTGCCAACCTGCTCAACGGCCAGAGCAAACCAGAGCCAACCAGGCGAGCCAGCGAGTCAGCCAGTCAGCCAGAGCCAACCAGCCATGCGGTTAATTTATTATGCAAAACGGGGCTTCACACGAATACACACACACACACACACACGCCTATATAGAGAGGGTGTAGGACACTATGGCAACTTATAACGAGTAAGATTGCTTTGGGCGGCAGTGCACGACTCACAGATACTCAAAGGCAGAAAATATTCATTCAAAATATTCCTATCTAACACTGGGAAGTTAGAGTTTCCCCATGAACTCTAACTGAAGTCGTAAACTAATATACCCGCTTGCACGTCCACGCACGTGCATGATAATACGCCATTGTCCTTACACACAACAATTACTTGCACACGGGGCTTACACTTTAGCACATCAGCAACGGCTGCTGCTCCTGCTCCTGCGGCTGCTGCTGCTGCTTCTGCTGCTCCTGCGGCTGCTCCTGCTGCTGCTGCGGCTGCTTCTAGTTCTTCTTCTTGCTCTGTACTGCAGCTCGTTAAATGCAGCAGCAAAGAATTTTATGTTGCAACATCAACGTGGCATAGTTTTTGGTGCATGGCTCGACATAGTTTTTCGGGAGCTTACGCTGCATAGCTCTCGACACATTTATCATGGCCAAAACATGTTGGCCACTTGATTAACACCTTGACAAAAGCCAGCGAACAGTTCAAATAAATGTAAAATTGCCTGAAACTAAGGGGCTCACCCAGCTGCCATATTGTATACCCTGTAAAGGGCAAACGACTCTGAATATGGGGTATATTGTGGGGAAGTTGAATATGTGTTTTTGAGGAATGTAGATCTTGGCATGGCTGTGGATTAATTCTGCAGTTGTTAAGACACTGAATAATACTCGATATTTGATATTTCAGATTTATGTATCAATATTATGTATTAAGGGTTCTCAGACTCCCAAATGAAAGTTCTTTGGTTTAAATCAAATTTATTTATTTTAAAGTTTCATTTCTAGGGGCTCAAATATAAACTAATTATAGCTAGTTTATTATTTCTTATTATTTCTGAGAGATTGTTGCTTTCAATTGTTACATTTATGAAAAAGAATTTTGGTACATTTTCATCCTTATAATCTCAAATTTGATTTATATAAAGGCTTTAAACCAAGTCACAAATATTTATTTCCAGCTTCAATCGTCAATCTAAATATTACATTTCCCTCAAGGAATTCAAAAATTTTCAATAAATAATTCTGGTTCTCTAGAATTCTTAAAGATTTTACAAAATAATGAAATGATTTAAATGAAAATTTCAATCCAATATTTTCAAACAAAGTTCTAGCTCATTTCGCCAAGTCAATATGCTCCTTACTTGATACATATAATGAATTTAAAATTTGAAACATTCATATTTAAGTAAATTAATGAAGGATCATGTAATTTTTGTTAAATTTTCTTGTTTCTGGGATTGGCTAGAGGGGACGTCGCCGAGGTTCGCTTGGATTCGATTCGACAACAATTGTTTTCGTCACAAAGTCGTAGGTGGTGCGATTGTTCTTGAGCAGAATCATGATGATGCAGACGGGGAATAAGAAGGTCGTGACCATGTTCTTGATGAGGGCGCGCAGCAGGGACCTCATGGGGCCGGGCGTCTCGCACGGGTAGAGCATGGCCCACTGCGGATGGGGCTGGGTTTGGAATATGAAATGGGCTGGCACGTGGCGCTGCAGTGGCATTACGGCCTCCACATAGACCACTCGGATCTTCATTAGCCACTTGCCCGGCGTGGCGCCGTCGTTGTACATCGTCCAGAGGCACTCGTAGACGCAGACGACCAGCTTGGTCAGCACGATGATGAGCAGCAGATCGTAGGAGAGCGAAAAGATGTCCAGCGACAGATCGAAGAGCGCCATGAACGGGTTCTCGTCCTTGAAGGACCTGCTCAGCAGGCTGCTCTCCAGGTCAAAGCCGAACATGTACGCGATGACAAAGGCCAGCACTGTTTTGATTATCGACAGAATCAGCGAGTCCACCAGCTCGGCCACAGCTCGCTTCCAGAACGGAGCGATCAGCATTTGGATGCCGCCATATCGCCGGATGATCTCCCGCTGATGTGCGGCGTCCAGGGCGCGGACAGGATTGATGCGTCGACGTCGCCGCGGATACGCCGCTGCATTCTGCATCTGCCACTGCAGCTGCATCTGCCTCTGGTTGTTGTAAATGTTGTTGTTGACGATGCTGGCGCTGTATTGGAATATCATATAGTTGGTCATCAGCTGCATGGCCTTCACCTGCTCCGCCCACTGCGAAAGGCTGGCAAAGTATGCCTCCTTCATACTCAAGTCGCTGACCTGCTGCTGCTTGCCAGGCGCGTCGGTCTGTGTCTGCTCTGTCTCCATGATTATTGGTCTTTAATGCATAAACGTATACACATATATGTATGTATGTATATCTATATGCTAATGTAGCTACGAACAATTTTCACGTTACTCAATTTGACTGTGAAACTTTTGGATTTTGACGTGGCAAACAAATATTGCTAGATGTTCGAATTTCGTTGAGCGAATGAATGAATACGTCTCAAGGATGTCATCATACATGTTCGTATTATATTTAGACGTGGAATTGTGAAATGAAAGACGTAATATATTATATTACCTCTGCTATAGTTATTAAGTATTCAAATTCGCTTCTGTTGGCTTGGGGAAATATTATTGGAGTGAGATTGAGTCTCAGTTGAAAGCTTCTCACTTAAATAGGAAGAACATGAAATAGAATCCGCTTATAATGACTCCTTCTAACGAAAATTCTGATCCCCAGACAAATTTATCGGTTCTTACGGCTATTACGACAATCCCTTATAATATTATTTATTTATTACATTTTTTAAAATTTATTTTTGATTTTTATCCAGTTCATTTTTCATACCTCATCTCAACTTTACATGAACTTAACATAAAAAATGTCTCCCATTCCCATGCGAATCTTGCTCACCTTCGCTTGCTTGCCTACAGGGTATCTGTTAGTCTAATACATTATTCACGCACAGCTCGCTTCAGTCACGCTTTTTATATTTTTTGCTGCTGGTTTTGCTGTGTGCATTTAATATTTGTGTCATTTTGCATGGCTCCTGGATATAGTCCAAAATAACATACATGCACATATCACATATCTATGTATAGGTGTGTGTGAGTGTGTGCGCTGTAAGTCCTGGGCGATATTCTGCGTCCTGTGTCCTGACTTAGTTGAAGGCAGCGAAGCAAATGCCTTTGGATTTACATGTGTTGCACTGCGGGATTTGCAGTTGGTTGAAAGAGCAGGAGCAGCAGCAGCAGCAGCAGGAGACGGGAGACAACAAGCAGCAGCAGCAGCCAATGCCAATGTGATGCATACTAAATAAAATAACGACAACAACAACAGCAAGATGAGGAACAGGAAGAGCACGCGATATACTGCTTAAGTTTAAACGGATTTTAAAAGCCTTTTGCCAAACACTTGTACATACGAAGGATAACAAGGATATGGCAGCAGCTGCTCCTGCTGCTGCTGCTGCCTGTCAATCCCCAAGCAACAAATATAAATACATGTAGATGGAAAATGACATAGATGCAGAAACGTAAACTGAGACAGTTAGAGAATGAAAGAGAGAGACACAGAGAGAGCGAGAGAGAGAGAGAGAGAGAGAGAGAAATTGTTCAGTCAAAATATTCTTCACAATCATGAATATAATGGGGAAATGCAATCTATGCTGGAATTTCTATTTTCATGCACTCTGTCTTTCTCTCTCTCTCTCTCTGTCTCTCTCTCTCTCTCTCTCTCTGCTCCCTTTCTGTTTCTATTATAGCCATTCAAATTGGAAATTCAAATTATAATTTACCTTTTGGAACAGATGCATGGAATTGATAGATGGCGAAAGCCTTCAGATATATTATAGAGGAGATGACTCGTTGAGTCCATTCAGATTTCATGTTTTCATTTGATAACTAAAATTATATTGAATATGCCATATTTATTTTGTACAATTCTGTTTGTATTCTCTAATTTATTTTGCTCTAGCAAATAATTTACGTATCGTTTGAACAATTCGCTTTGAGCTACTTCTCCATTGTCCTGGATTGTTCTAGACATTTTCATATGCTCCACTTATTAACATATCTTTGAATTGAAGCACGTGGTCTGCTCTCTCTCTCTTTCTCTCTCTCTCTCCCTCTCTCTTTCTTTTTAGGTATTTATGTAGCAAATGTTGCTTTTGCTCTTGCTTTATGTTGCATCAAACCTCATTAGGCGTATGCATAAAGCTCTTGTAGTTGAAGTCAAATTTGAAATGAATACATATAAATTCTCTGCCACACACTTTGCCATGAGGATTGCCATGTGGTTTGCCATGTGCACGGCCAATGGCCAAGTACCTTTCACTGGCGACTTCTGCGTTCCGCTTTGTTATCGTCTATGCAATAACAAAGTTTCAATTGTTTCGAGCACTGTGCAGGGTTTGCGACTTTTTACATTTGCCATGCACTGACTTTCGAATGGCATAAAATGGGGTGTATTGGCTTTGCGAAATCTTTGACTGCTTATATGTACTTGAAGTTAGAGATGAGCAATTGAACATAAGAAATTTCAGCTGAGAGCAGGCAAACAGAAACTCTTAAAAAACCTATCTCCCGGTAGATTTCTTTAATGGAAAATTTAATTCTTGAGCGAAAGCATTCTATCGAAAGCATTCACTTTGAGCTTTATTCAGACAAAAACTCATTATTTTCAACAGCTTTACAGTTGTGTAGAGGATGCGCCAGTCAGTACAACTCTTGCACATTGTATGCAGCCCGCAGCTGCTGCCATCTAACCGAAAAAATAGAAGGAATCCGAATGGTTAGCCGGAGTTGTCATTAAAATCATATGGTGCAGTGGTCAAAAGCGGGTCTGCCTGCCACTGCCTGAACGAACCTAGGGAACATATATATATGTATGCATATATATATAAAAAAAAAACATTGTCAAAAGTTCAGATATTGCTGACTTATATTTCACATTCTCTTTCTTTTTTTCCTGTGCAACCACAGTGCGACGACGGAGTCAGAATACGCTCGAATGTGTGGGCGATGCTGATATGTTGCTCAAATTTCGCATAGATATGACAGCAGGAAGAATACCCTTTAAAATGGAAATATATTTTGGGAAATATATATCCTAACAACAGTATAGACTTACAGTGACTTACAGTATAAAGAAAAGGATTAGATAAGTCTTTCTATTATATTTGATATGGTTTATTAATAGAGGTTACCAAAATATTAATAATTCATGATAAATCACTACTAATTTTTGAAAAATACAGTTCAATTCGAAATTCGTGTTATCTGACCTGATTCCTATCCCTTATACCTTATATGGAAATATTTTATTCTGGCCTTAAATTCAATAGACCTTCAGCTTGTAGCATTTTCTATACATAAATCAGTACACCCCATCTGTTAGGGCATGTTATAAAAATAGATGGGCAACATCGTCTGGCCGCAATTCAAAAGTTTCCAATATCAGGTTGGCTGGGAAATTCATTCACTATTCACGAGCATGCGACGACTATTCCCTGGTCACTATGTGGGCGACTTTCTCTATCTCTCTCGCTCTCTCTCTCTCTCTCTCGCTCTCTCTCTCTCTCCCTCTCTCACTCTTGCTCTGTGTGTGCTTGTATTGCAGTGAGCAGCTCCGATGGCCGCGTATGCATAGAATTTCATGACGTCATTAGCGTTAATGACATCAGAACTGAGGCAGAGTTTAAATATTTTGCAGCTTCTTAATGAAAACTTGCATGCTGCAAATGAACAGTCTGCTGCTGTTGCAAGGGAAAATGAAAACGCTTTTCCATTGAAAATAATGAGCCATAAAGTGCGCGCACAATCGCTGAGGTGGGGCAAGAATCTATGCAAAATGTTTCTAGATATTATGTGGCTTTGTCTGCCCTCGCCTTTGCCTTTGCCTTTGGCTTTGGCTCTGGCTCTGGCTTTGGCTGGACTGAAAGGTTTTCAGTCAGCGCTGGGAAAGTCTGTGGCCTTTTGTCCGTTTTATCACAGCTTGTATTTCGCTCAAAGTTCAGACGGCGAGCTTACAAAACACTTTTCAATCCTGAATCATTAATGCCAGACATTCAACTTTCAATGACCCAAAAAACTTTGCACAGTCTCTTTGCATTCGCATTGTTTGGCAGATGGAAGACAAGATCTCAGCGTGGATCTGGTAAATATAGAATAGTTGATAGCAACATTTAGTTAACAACAATGCTTAAATAGATGAGCAATTCAGTAAACGAAATATATCTATTGAGAGTATTTAAATAATACTAAAAAAATACTTAAAAAGTATACATGATATAGTGTTAGTATAAAAATGTCTAGTGCCTAGTCTCTGTCTCTCTCTCTCTCTGTCTCTGTGTAATCGCAATGTATAAATTGCTAGTATTAAAAAAATACTTAAAAATACTTAAAAATACTTAAAAATACTTCTTATATATACTTTCCCTCTCCTTCTCTGTCTCGCTATAACTTTCGTTCTATCACTATCTCTCTTTCTCTCTCTCTCTCTCTCTCTCTCTCTCTCTCTCTCTCTATCTATCTTAATCCCAGCCTCTCTATCCTGTCAACTTCTCTATCCTACTCTATATATGTATATGCAGCTCTCTTATATAGCGCATAAATATATAGGATAGAATATCAAGAGATAGAAAATATATATTGTATAAAGTTATACCATCGACGTATGGAGTCATAGAATCACAACACAGTCATAGCTAAGAGAAGATAAACATGGATATCTGTGCATATAGAAATATATGTAAGTATCCTCCTAAATATAATCGTCCATTTTTTACACTTCAACATTTTCTGCGTTTATGTCTTTCGCCACATTAAGTCCCCCAAATGGGCCACTTCGTTGCTTGGGAGTCGCGCTGAGCTTCTACTTAATTTAATGAGCTGCTCAAGATTTATGCACTTGCCTAAAGCTCTAACAGAATTTATGAACTCGCGCTGGGGATTGCTTTAAATTAGCTAAATTAGAGAGGCGGGCAAATTGAAAGCCAACACAGAAATTACAAACAACAGCTCAGGCCAAAACTTGACCAGAAACTTGGCCAAAACAGCAGCTGGCCAATTGAAAGTGGCAACAACTCGCAACTTGCAACTGCTGAAGTTGAGTTGAGCTGAGCTGAGTTGAGCAGTTGCAGTTGCAGTTGCAGCCAAAATTTACAAAATTTACCAAAGTGTGGGAAGAAGCCGCAACTTTAAATGATCCCAAAGCCAACTACCGGGAAACAGCTTGCTTTTCACGCGCTCTACAAATGTTTGCATGGGGTATATAGTGTTGTGAGAGTGTGGGTAAGAGAAGACTACTGACAGATTTA